TCCGTTGACCTCGCACTTGATGATTAGACTGTTCCCATCATGGGTTTGTGAGATCGAGACCCTTGGGGCTCTTATAACATCAGCCAGCACGCGCTCTGCAGTTCTGGCTTTTACTAATTTCCCTGCTGCTGCTGGTCGGGGTTGTTAGCCGCACCACCCTCCTGATATCGTTCACCTTCCCTTTCTACGGTTCGCTTAGGGCAACTGGATCGCAGATGGCCCCTTTCCCCACAGCCATAGCACCTAGGGCTGTATCCATTATTGCGGTCGCGAACCTGCTGCTGCAACCTCTCTGATGCGATGGGAGCGAAGATCCTGCCGCACAGCTTCCACCTCCAGTGCATGGGCCAAGGCGTCCTTAAGCGTCTCGTGGTACCCGAGCCTCACAGCAGCTCTGACTTCAAGGTTGCAGATGCCGTCGATGAATGTCTGCACCAGCTTCCCTTCAATGAGCGCAGGTACAGACTGGTATGCTTTTCGATCCATCTTCTCCACCTCAAGGGCCCACTGTTACAGGTTTTCGTTGCTGTATTGCACGCAATCTTTAAGCTGCGCGCGAAAGACAAGTTCCAGGTGAGCGTCGCCATATCTCGCCTCCAATGCCTCAAGAAGCTGCTCGTAGGTCATTTTCTTACCGAGAGCTTCCAACACAGTTAAGGCTTGTTCACGCAGGCCTAAAGTGAGTGCAGTCATGGCCTGGCTTTTATTCCAGCCGTTCGCGTCCATGACGGCCTCAAACTGGATTTTGTAAGCCGACCAGGAAGAAGTCCCACTTTGAACCCACGTAGCGAAGGTGTAGTAGCTACTACGGGAGCTGTAGTTCCATCCCCAAGTTTGATTTCGTCTAGTGATTTCTTCATGTCAGCCATTACGTTGTCAACCCGGTTGTTTACTTGGTCGATTCGGGTTTCAGCTTCCGACAGGCGGTTTTCATGTTGAGCAACTTTATCCTTCACCTACCGTATCTCTTTCCCGAAGGTAATGTGGATGTCCTTAATGAGGAGCATCTGCTCTTCCTTATCGCGTCTGAGCTGCTCTTCCAAACGACGGGCCTGTTCCTCACGTCGGCGGGCCTGTTCCTCCTGCTGCTCTTTCAACTGAAGGGCCTGTTCCTCTCGTCCGCGCTGCAGCTGCTCTTCCAACCGACGGGCCTGCTGCAGCATCACCATCAGAGTCAGTCAGGTGCTGCAGATGCAGAAGCTACTGACGGGCCGGCCTCCGTGGCCGGCGGCTGGCCCTCTGACGTCTGCGGCGTTGCACCACCAAATCGTCTCTGGTCCGTCTCCTGCTGGCGTTGACTTCGGGTACGGACACCCTCCGTTTCCTCCTTAAGTAAAATCGGCATGATTTTATCCCACTTTTGACACCAATTGTTACGAGCTTGAGGTTCGTGACAATAATAACTGCCGATTGAATTACCAGAATTTACACTTTTATTACCGAACACCAATTAAAACTTAAAACACTAATAATTAACCACACTGATTCACTTTATTTCGCTCCGAATCTTCTCTTGTCTTGCCAAATTCAATACTGCCTCTATCAAATTAAATATACTTTTACGCCGAAACATCCAGAATATTCCCGTAGATATGGGCGCCGACCGACCAGACGCAGAAAGTTCGAGTGTGAGGCTACTAGAAAGCTTAGTTCTTCAATTCGATACTAGATGGCGCTGTTGATTAAAATATTAGTTGTCATTTTCTGGAAAGCTCTCCTCGCTCTTTTACCCGACACTAGATGGCGCTAGTGCCAGACGTCAACTTAGGCACGCAACATTACTGTAGACTATTATAGTTAGGGTTATAATGTGTGTTGTGTGATAGATTTATGTGTTATGCGTAATGCATTTTGTGTGTATGTAACTACGTTAAACATTATAAAATTAAATAAAACAAATCATCAATCTATACAGCCGGGCTAGCATGAGCGGGGGATAAAAATTTTATCCACCGATTATATCCACTGACAAGGGATAAAATTGACTTATTCCTATGTCAAAGCTTTATCCACCCTGCGAGCATGGGCCTATGGTGGATATAATATCGACAGTAGATAAACTTATCCCCGCGCATAGATAATATACGATAGCAAAGATGTTTTATAAAACATCTTTGTACGATAGTATAAAGCTATAAACTATACTAGCTATAAACTTCTTTTAAGGTTAAGTAGATTTACATTAACTTATATTTTCTTTTACCTTTTGTTTATTATATTGCTAAACTGTTAATAATTTTTGTTAAACAATATGTCATTTATAATATTTGTTATATTTATTTTAAGCGTATTTCTGCCTTGTTTTTATTTTTTTCTATTATTCTAATTCTTTCTTTATTTTCTTTTGTATAATATTTAAGTTAAGTATACATTGCTTGTATCAAATCGCAGGTATTACTTCGCTTGTGATAGCATTTATTAAAAAAATATTTGTCTAGAATTAAGCCAATTGCGAAACTGGACGATACAGACCCTTTGGAGGTGGTGTAATCTCTTGAGGAAATTAAAAAAAAAATTATCCCAGCAATTACTGCCATTATAAGAAAATTACAAAGTACATCAAAATTGATGTCTACTCTAAGTCACAAAGATTTAATTTTTATTGAAAATGACGAAACATGAAGAATAAAAATGTAATGATTACAAACAAAACAAGGAATAAATAATTTTATAATCATGAGTATTGTGTTATTTGTATTCCTAATATTATGTATATTAGTCTTTAAACTTGTATTTACCTACACAAGAGGCTAATTAAAGTATATTGCTCCACACATTCTAATGATGGCCCCAATAATTTAGGTCAAGTATTTGCTGATTATTTGTTGTTTGAACAACAGCCATGCCATGGTCTTGAATCGTACTTCTCTAGTAGGTAACTACCTTCTGCCAAGAGACTGAAGGATGTAAACTACCTACCTAGAAAAAATATTAAGATAAGTTACATAAGCCACATGTATTGATTGCAAATATACGATGTTTTTGGACAAGGTGGTTGTAATAGATGCTTACTTCAATATGTACTGGTAGTTCATCCACAGAAGTAATAGGCTTTAAAGCCTCATAGAGTTCTTTACACAAATACAAAACAATATTTGAGCATCCGAAACCGGCGTAGAAATTCGTTGTCGGAGAATTCCAATAGATTAAGTATTCTGATCACGTATCCATCGCTGGTGTAATTTTCTTTCTTGTTTTTCAATTTCTGACACGAAAATGTAGTTGCAATAGGCTCGAGACATCTTTTTCGTATTAAAATGGTTTGAAGATAAACTTAAACCCACGTCCGCGAAAGAGGATAAAATTGTCCCTTTCAAATGTCAAAAAGGGATAATTTTTTCTCTTTCCCCTTGGCCTCATGCTACGGACGGGGAGATATATGTCTACTCGTTATGTCAAACGGGGATATACTATAGAGATAAGATAATTTTATCTCTTGTCAGTGGATATAATCGGGGGATATAATTTTTGTCTCTTGCTCATGCTCGCAGGGTGGATAAAACTAAGCAAGGGATAAAATTATATCCTCTCTCCGGGGATATATTCTCTCCGACTCATGCTAGCCCGGCAGGATTATATTATTTTTTATTTCTTCATAAAACCCTATTTAATCTCATACAAAACACTGTTGGAGTTTCCGCAGTGAAATGTTTATGCTGCTAATAGACTGCTCATGTATACCCGCGTACCAACGTATATAATATGCAATTTGGATACAAATGATAAACCAGGCTCACATTGGATAACTTTGTGTATCGATACGAACGGCATCGGTCAATATTTTGATTCATATGGACTATCACCTGCACGATATCATCTAGTGTTTTTAAAAAGGAATTAAAAAAAAGAATATTAACAATTCTATAAGCATTCCTAAAATCCCCCTTAACGATTCGTGGTAAGCTCAAATTGCTTGTGTTACGAGTGGTTCACGCCAGTAGTCGAATGGCGGATTCGAACCGACGACTTTTTTGAGTTCGCGGTCCGCGCCCTGCCATTAGGCTACTGTCGCTTTGTAATTTTAAAAGATGGGACTGTAATAATGATAATAATAATAATAATAAAAAGGCGTAGGGAATTGACGACCCCATCGCCCGCTGACGTAACAGTTAAGTGACAAAACTGCTACGTCAACGCAGTCAGTCAGCGCCTTGCGAGAGGTGTGAGCGCCGTGCCGCGGCAGAATTTAGGGTGCAGAGGCCCGTTTGTGCTTATGGCTACACACGAAACGGTGCCGGGCCTGGGCGTCTCCCGTTAATGGACGCCCAAATAATGGATGATGGATAAAAAGATAGTGCGCAAAGGGCCGCTGCCTGGGGGTCGCCGGGGCGCGTCTGGAGCTGGCGCTGGACGCGGCAGCATGCGGGCCGCCAGCCGAGCGCGAGGAGCTGCACGGTCATCTACCAGCCCTCCGCATCCATCATCCCCACCAGAAGGCTTGGTGTCGGCTGGGTCTTCTCGGACTCAGCAAGCGGCACCCGCCGCTGGTGGAGCACGTCGCATGCGTTGGTCACAAGAAATGAATGCAAACGCACTGCGGGCGTACTTTAGGGCAAAAGGGGAAGAAACTGGATGTTTGGCGTACCGGGCTAGGATGCATCGTCTTTTTGCTGAGCTGGAGCCATCTTGAATCGTCACAGAGCAAAACCTGGCAGACCGAGTTCGGTATATCTTGCGCTCAAATATATTTGATGTCGCCGAACTCGAACGGCTACGACGTGAGGCTGTTCCCTCGTCGGATGAGAATGCTACGGCTGAGGATGCGGCGCCACAAATGGTAGAGCAACCCGCAAACGTGGATGCCGCCGTGAATACCCCAGTTGTGGTTGATTCAAACGATGATGGAACAGTCGCCCAGGAACTGGAATTAGAGCATATGAGGAGTATATTGGAAGAGGCGATTGTGGAAACGCGCAGTACGCCTCTCGAAAATCGACCGCGACTTCCCCCGCATAGCCCTAAGCAAGCGGAATCGGGCTGTCGTGAGGGCTCTGAACCCAATGCTGGTTACCTATTTGGAAGCCAGCCGGGACCTTTGCGAGACGGACTCAATTCTTTTTGGCGCCGCGCTGGCAGTCTGCCGTATCATAGGCGCCAAGGTTTCCACGGCTGGACGCGCTACTGGCCATAGTAGCGCTATCCCAGCATGGAGAAGAAGAATTGAGGAACGTATCGCAAAGGCTAGAGCTCTCATCGGCAGACTGATATGCTTCAGATCAGGCAACAACAGGCCAAGAATTGTGCGCACCGTCAGGATGGCGTTTGCTGGGACAAATGTCAGTTTGTCCCAGCCGGATATAACGCAAAAACTGACGGAGCGCATAGATGATCTGAAGCAGAGAATCGCTGCTTGGGGAAAGCGGATTCGGCGATATACCGAGAGGTCGACACGGTTCAACCAGAATCGTCTCTTCCAGAGTGATCAGAAGAGGCTCTATGAATCATTGGAGCGACCAATGGTAAGTGGAACGGGTCCAGCACCGAATCAGGCCGACACTGTAGCATTCTGGCGCGGCCTGTGGTCAGAGCCCGTAAACCACAGCGAGGGCCCTTGGACGGAAGTTGTGGCGAGTCAGTGTGCGGGTATTACGCCCATGGACCCCGTCATCATAACGCCGGATGACGTAGCTGAGGCGGTTCGTAGGGCCCCGAACTGGAAAAGTCCGGGGCTTGACTGGCTGCATCACTACTGGCTGAAGGGGTTCATGGTGTGTCACTCTGTTCTCGCCCGACAGTTTCAAGAGGCTCTCAGCCAGAAGTCGCTCCCAAGCCTCTTCACTACTGGGATCACTCATTTAGTTCCTAAAGACCAGGCTACCACAGACCCGAGCAAATACCGCCCCATCACGTGTCTACCGACCATATACAAGACACTAACATCCATTTTGAGCGCGAGAATCACTTGTCACCTGGACTCAAATCAGGTGATGTCGCGCGCTCAAAATGGATGTCGGGGCGGTGGTCGTGGAACCAAGGAACCACTCCTCATTGACGCGGTCATTGGCAAAGTGGTGAAACGCAACCGTCGGAACTTCTCCGCCGCCTGGATAGACTACAGAAAGGCATTCGACTCGGTGCCCCATACATGGCTAAAGAGAGTCCTCGAGCTGTACAAGATAGACTGTACAGTTAGAGACTTCCTCGAGCAGTGTATGGGGCAGTGGAGTACGATCCTTTGTCATCTAGGCGAACGGATGATGGCTGCGGAGAACCACATAAGGATAAGAAGGGGTATCTTCCAGGGCGATTGTCTGAGTCCAATCTGGTTCTGCCTCTCTCTGAACCCTCTCAGTACCTTACTGGAGGGCTCCGGGAGGGGATTTCAGCTACGGAAAGGAGGGACAAAAGTGACCCACCTTTTCTATATGGATGACCTCAAGTTATTCGCCTCCAGTCGCTCCCATCTTATGGAATTGCTAAACATCACTTGTGAATTTAGCAATTCCATTGGAATGGAGCTGGGGACGGATAAGTGTGCGGTCCTCCATGTTGAAAGGGGAAGGGTTGCTAACTCTGAGGGCGTAGACTTATCTATGCCCGTCAACTTAAGGACCCTTTCCGAGGCTGAAACATACCGATACCTGGGTATGTCACAAAACATCGGTATCGATGAGACTGGTATGAAACAGTCAGTTTGCGACGTGTTTTATGCACGCTTGACCAAAGTGCTTAACAGCCTTTTGTCCGGTGTGAATAAGGCACACGCATATAACGGCTGGGTCATGCCTGTCCTCATGTATACCTTTGGCATACTCAGGTGGACTCAGACTGAACTTAACGCCCTGGATAGAAAAGTCCGCACTACAATGACGTCCCATAGGATGCATCATCCGAGATCGTCGGTAATGAGGCTGTACTTGCCGCGGAAGCATGGTGGTCGTGGCTTCTTGAGCGCGCTCACCATGCATAATCGCGAAGTGTGCAGCCTCCGTGATTACTTCCTGGCGAGATCGGATGATTCATTCTATAAGGACGTCATTTCTTGTGATAAAGGACTTACCCCTCTATCCTTAGCCAACGAGCAATGGCAAGACCCGGCAGTGCAGAGCATTTCCGACCGGGAGACCGTATGGAAGGAGAAGAAGCTCCACGGGAGGTTCTACAAGGCTCTACAAGAGCCTTTCGTAGACACAGCAGCCTCCCTCCACTGGCTACGCTTTGGTGATCTCTTCGGGGGAAACAGAGGGTTTTGTCTGTGCAATACAGGATCAGGTTATTAAGACCAACAACTATCGGAGATACATCCTAAAGGATGGCACCGTCGACATCTGTCGAGCTTGTCGCCATCCCGGTGAGTCACTTAGGCATGTTATCTCCGGTTGTTCGGCGCTTTCTAACTCTGAGTACTTACACAGGCACAACCTAGTAGCCAGAATTCTACACCAGGAGCTCGCTCTGAAATACGGTCTCGTGGATCGGAAATTGCCGTATTACAAGTACTTGCCGGAAGCCGTGCTCGAAAATGATCGCGCCAGGCTCTATTGGGACCGGGCCATCATCACAGACAGGACTATTCTTGCGAATAAGCCTGATATTGTGCTGATGGACCGGGCACAGTCAAGGATATTTTTGGTCGACATTACCATTCCGTATGACGAGAACCTCGTGAAAGCCGAAACAGACAAGCAAACAAAATATCTGGACCTGGCTCACGAGGTGACCGACATGTGGGGTGGTCTGCCGACCGAAATTATTCCTGTAGTCGTCTCTGCAAACGGGCTAATCCCAGTCAGCCTCTCGGGTCATCTGAGGCGGCTGGGACTACGTGGCGGACCGCTCCAGGTTCAAATGCAGAAGGCGGTGCTCCTCGATACCGCCCGCATCGTCCGCCGGTTTCTTTCCCTTTCCCCCTAACCCTCGGCCGTTTGGTCTCCCCTGCCGAGGGCCTCCATCTGGTTGGGCTTTTATTTATTTATGTACTTTTATATTTATTTTATGTTATTGATATTTATGTATATTTGTCTTTTCATTTTCATTTATAATTATATATTTATAGCACCCAACCAGATGAGAAAACTATATAGATACCCCAAAATAATAATAATGCATCATCCGAGATCGTCGGTAATGAGGCTGTACCTGCCGCGAAAGCATGGTGGGCGTGGCTTTCTGAGCGCGCTCACCATGCATAATCGCGAAGTGTGCAGCCTCAGTCATTACTTCCTGGCGAGATTGGATGATCCATTCTATAATGACGTCATTTCTAGTGATAAAGGGCTTACCCCTCTATCCTTAGCCAACGAGCAGTGGCAGGACCTAGCAGTGCTTAGCATTTCCGACCGGGAGGCCGTATGGAAGGAGAAGGAGCTCCACGGGAGGTACTACAGGGCTCTACATGAGCCCTTTGTAGATATAGTCGCCTCCCTCAACTGACTACGTTTCGGTGACCTCCTCGGGGAAACCGAGGATTTTGTCTGTGCGATACAGGATCAGGTTATTAATACCAACAATTATCGGAGATACATCCTAAAGAATGGCACAGTCGACATATGTCGACCTTGTCGCCATCCCGGTGAGTCACTTAGGCATGTCATCTCCGGTTGTTCGGCGCTTTCTAACTCTGAGTACTTGCACAGGCACAACCTAGTAGCCAGAATTCTACACCAGGAGCTCGCTTTGAAATACGGTCTCGTGGACCGCAACCTGCCGTATTATAAGTACTTGCCGGAAGCCGTGCTCGAAAATGACCACGCCTGGCTCTACTAGGACCGGACCCTCATCACAGACAGGACTATTCTTGCAAATAAGCCTGATATCGTGCTGATGGACCCGGCGCAGTCAAGGATATTTTTGGTCGATTACCTTTATAATGATTACATTACCATTCCGTATGACGAGTACAAAAGCGAACAAAATATCTGGCCCTGGCTCACGAGGTGACCGACATGTGGGGTGGTCTGCCGACCGAAATTATTCCTGTAATCGTCCCTGCGAATGGGCTAATCCCAGTTAGCCTCTCGGGTCATCAGAGCCGACTGGGACTCCGTGACGGACCGCTCCGGACTCAAATGCAGAAGGCGGTGCTCCTCGATACTGCCCGCATCGTCCGCCGGTTTTTTTCCCTTTCCCTTTCCCCCTAACCCTCGGCCGTTTTGTCTCCTCTGCCGAGGGCTTCCATCTGGTTGGGCTTTTGTTTATTTATGTATTTTTGTATTTATTTTATTTTATTGATATTTATGTATATTTATCTTTTCATTTTCATTTATTATTATATATTTATAGAACCCAACCAGATGAGAAAACTATATAGATACCCCCCATAATAATGGCTCTACTGGGACCGGGCCATCGTCACGGACCGGACTATTCTTGCGAATAAGCCTGATATTGTGCTGATGAACCGGGCACAGTCAAGGATATTTTTGGTCGACATTACCATTCCGTATGACGAGAACCTCGTGAAAGCCGAAACAGATAAGCGAACAAAATATCTGGACCTGGCTCACGAGGTGACCGACATGTGGGGTGGTCTGCCGACCGAAATTATTCCTGTAGTCGTCTCTGCGAATGGGCTAATCCTAGTCAGCCTCTCGGGTTATCTGAGGCGACTGGACTCCGTGACGGACCGCTCCGGGCTCAAATGCAGAAGGCAGTGCTCCTCGATACCGCCCGCATCGTCCGCTGGTTTCTTTCCCTTTCCTGCTAACCCTCGGCCGTTTGGTCTCCCCTGCCGAGGGCTTCCATCTGGTTGGATCTTTATTTAATTATGTATTTTTTGTATTTATTTTATTTTATTGATATTTATGTATATTTATCTTTTCATTTTGATTTATAATTATATATTTATAGAACCCAACCAGATGAGAAAACTATATAGATACCCCATAATAATAATAATAATAATAATCTTTTATTGACATAAAATTTGTTACAATATCATTTCAGCCTCTGACTCCCGAGATAGGTTAGAAAACCTGTGTTACGAGAGTCAGTGAATATAGGATTCAGAATGTGTGGAATAAATATTGCTTAATGTATTTGCTAAAGTTTCAGGGATGTTTAATGCATAGTTTTACGAGCATATTTACAGGGAACACATTTTACAATTATATTTTAGTGGATGAGATATTTCGCTCCTATTTTATAGATAATAAGCAATAAAATTTTGGAAATAAAAATTGTAACAAAATTAAGGAATGTGTTTTATTGGTGATTCAGAATAGCGTGGTAGTTAGCGAACAAAGAAGGATAATACAATAGCACTGTTTAATCAGGGTGTACAACGAGTAATAGATAAGAGCGATGACGGTGTTCAAGAAACAATAGATAAGAAGAAAGGTTGAACACAATGGAAGACGCTAACTAGGGAGCAGGCCCACCGGATATCAATTAGATATTAGTTAAGTAATCTGTACATCTCCGGAACCGCGCATCCTACGTAAAAAGAGATTCTTGATCAGATCATGCCAAAACCTTTTTTTTTGGATCCATCGAGCCACCGTTAGTCGATGAGGGCTGGTTTGTACCAGTTCTGGCTCACGATAGAAACTAACTGCTTACTGATGGTGGACGCCAATCTGAAGTTACGCCGGCTAAAGGTGTAGCAAGTCTCAGAACTGACTTTTTTTCTTGATAGTGTTTCTGGACAATTATATAGATAGTCGGTGTAATATGATTTTACTTTTTCTAAGTGATTTTCCGAGAAATAACTGTAGACTTGGTCCCGTACTCACCTAACTTGATATGATTGGCTTGAAACTCTCTTCAGTACTGATCCAGAGTCTAATGGTAATGGATGCTTCCAAATCAAAACTTGTTGGAGGCCGACTCGACAGATTCGCTATTGCACATCAGACACAGAAACAAGGCACAGGCAAATCTCATCTTGTAATGGCCAAAAAAAAAAATTGTACAAAAAGTACGCAGTAGTATAATAAATTTATGACAAAAAGGGTTAATTATTACAATATCAAAGAGCACATAAATGAAAATAATGGGAATAGGGTATAAGTTGATCGCCATCATGCTGGTTCTATAAAAAAATCATTTAAAATTGTACAAACTAAATTATTGTAAAGTGAAATATGTTTAAAAAAAGTCCCGCTGGATTTCTTGCTTTTTCTTCCCAGGACAGAGGTTTTTCTGAACCAGTGGTAAATAAAAAAATGCCTTACAATAAGTATTATGACTGCCTCGTTGGTCTAGTGGTTGTATTAGTGCGACTGCTGATCATGAGGTCCTGGGTTCAAAATCCGGGTCGGGCCAAAAAATCAATTATTGAGTTTTCCCGTCAAGAAATTCTCAGTAGCTGCCCGGAGTCAGGAAGTTGGCGGTGTCTCGCCCCCGTGCCTCGTAAAGCATGTAAAACCGTTGGTCCTGCGCCTGATCTCTCTCCGGTCGTGTCTATTTACCATCCCATCGGATTATGAGAGTGAGGGAATAGAGAGTGCACCTGTGCTTGCGCATACACTTGGGCACTATAATCCTGTCTTGCGCCGATGCCTAACCCCTTCCCTTCCCTTGAGGCTGGCCGGAGTGACCGAAATTCGGTCTGGAGGACATTATTATTATTATTCAATATATTGAATAATCTATATTGAATAAAATCATTCATTTCATTGCATTTAATTTGTACTCGTAAGGTAATTTGTTTATCATCTTTACGAATACAAGTAAATGCATCTTCTCTTGTTTGGGGCTATTGAGTCATCGTAACTAACTGTTGAGTTTTTTACAGGAAAACGAGGTAATCTCTGCTTTTGAGCCTTAGTTTAGGCTTTTAAGGAAGTTTAGCTCAAGGGCCATATACTGTGATTACTTTAAAGGTGAGCTCATGTTCAACTTTAATGTAGTCACATGGACCTGCTCAGATGGGTACAGTAACAGTTCTTACCTTAAAAACTGCTCGCAAGCTGTGACGACCGGAGAATTTCGATCTTATTTCATCACTTCACAGAGTTAGGTTAGGTTTGGGCCCCTTTTATCTAATATTGATATTTCTGATATATATGAATGTTTCAATAACGTTTAACATTTTGTATCCAGACGATAAAAATGTCATGAAACCAGCGCAAATATTTTTTTATAATTATAAAAAATTTAAAACGTTCTATTTATTCCATTTTCTATGTCACCTTTTTACATTTAGCAACATATTATGTACAAGTTTGTTACGTTTTTGGACTCAATAAGCCGTTAATCTATGATTTCATGTACATATTATAGACAATGTACATGAACCTATTGGTCGTTTCGATTATTTTAAAGAATTATCACGAACTATAACAATTTGAATAAAAGCATTATTTCATAATTATGTAACATTAAAAACAATTTTTTTTAATTTCATTAAATGCAAAAATTTTGTTTTCTTTTTTGGATATTTTAAACATAAAATTATATTATAAATATTTTAATTAATAATGGTAACAACTGAAATTTATATTGTAAATATATTATACCGTACTTAAATATTTTTGAAAATTTGAAAATTTTTAACAAGAGAGGCGTAAATCGTTAAAATTTATTATCCAAAAAATACCTACAATATGCAGGTATATAACATTTTTAATTTTTTTTTAAATTTTGTTAATTACACAAAATATACAAAGAATAGGCTTACATAGCTATTCTCGCCAAACTTTTACGTTTGATGGCGAGACACGCTCGATTTTCAACATAATATCTTCTAAGTATACTACTAGTTTACTTATAATATTGATTATACACATTTATTAAGTATTTCTTTACACTATAATTATAACCAGCACAGGCACTAATTAAAACAATGATATACTTCTGTTATAAATAAACTACTACTCCAATGATAATTCATCAAGAAACAACTGTTTAAGTTTTGATTTCAACACATTTTTACTGAGTTGCGGACTCCCTCTCAAAAGTTGAAATTTATTAAATATCTTAGGTATTAGAAATTTTGATAATCTTTCTTCATAATAATTATTCATTCTCGGTTTAACAAGCATTTTACATTTTACACTTCTTGTATCGTATTTATTATTAACAAATCTTTTATACTCGTTAGTAGTGACGTATGCCTGTAGACAAAAAAATCGAATACTTATATTCGATTTTTTTGTCTACAGGCAGTATTTTACAAATTGGAAATAAGTTATTATAGTCCTGTCCACAATTATCTTTAACTTTTTTGGTCACTAGGTACTTAATCAGCCTTATTTGTAAATTTTTAATATTTTTTAAATAGGTGCAAAACGTCCGCCCAGGCATATACAATGAGTCCATAGCTAATCAGTGAGTCAGCAAGAGCATAATACACAATGCGTAACGTGTGCTTGTCTACAACTGCATTTAATTGATAAAACTTACATACCATGGACCTTAATTTATTACATATGTCTTTAACATGCGTTTTCCAGCTAAAATTTTGATCAATAGTTAAGCCTAAATATTTAAATGTATTGACATAATCTAATTTATCACACCTGCAGTCGATTTTATTAGCATGAAGGCATTCATATGAGTGGCCAATTATATGTATCTGTTCTTTATTAATGATTTTAACTTGTCGATTGTATGGTGAATGTATATGCATGCACTTGGTTTTCGACATATTCAATATAATTCCATTATCGTGTGCCCACTTAGTTATACTTTCAAAATCTTCTTGTACATAGCTTTGTATCTCGGATATATCCTTGGAAGCATAAACAATACACATATCATCGGCATACATAAAAACGCGGCACATGTTTACAACATTTGACACACTATTCACATGCATCACATATCCTAATGGACCAAATACTAATCCAGTCGCACCCCCAGATCCACATGCATATCCTCACCAGTCACACCAGCTATCATCGTACGCATTTTCCTATTACTCAGGTAGTTCCGAAACCATTTATTCGTAGGGACTCGTATTCCACATTCATCCATCGCCTGTAATAGAATATCATGATCCAGGGTGTCAAACGCCTTTTTGTAATCTATAAAAAGTGTTATAATTTGTTTACCAGCGTCCAAAGACTCGTTTATGTAATCGGCAAATTCCGTTAGTGCTGAAACCGTACTGCGCCCCGGGCGGAAACCGTGCTCCGTTCACTCGAATTTTTCAACTAATGGACACAGGTTTTCACTTTCACACCAGAAAGAAGATTAAAGTACTTTGTGAATTAAACATCTAGATACGTATAGGGTGGGGCGTTTTTGCACTTATCTCGTGATGCACACTTATAGAACACTAACATATTAGCAAGTCGTAATCCATAATAACAAATAAAAATGTTTTATTGGGTTGTTTATATATCAATTCATATTTAAATTAGAAAATGGTGTGTGATAACTGTATTAAAGTTTTAACATAAAACAGATTTGCGTTGGTAATTTCAAAGTTTGGTATTTTATTTATAATAGAAATATTTACAAAATGGCTTCGCCAAGCAAAGGCGCAGAAGCGCCACACGCCAACATCATGGGCTATAGGAAGGTTCAGTAACACTATCCGTCACCATTCCCTCAATCATGGTTTCCACTTCTTTTTCACGTGCTAACGGCAATCTTCTTGGTTGCTGGCTGGACAGGCAATTCTTCTCCTGTGTTTATATTGTGTTGAACTAAGCCGGACTTCCCTATGTCAGCATCGTTTGACGAGAATACATCGGCGTACTTGAGTAACAACTTCTTCGCCTTGACCATTTCGTTCGGGGAGAGAACGCTGCGACAGTCTTCCAAAAGTGTGGTCACTCTCGTTTCTGAATCCTTGCTCACAAGTACCAATCCACTTCCTCACAAGTACCAACCAGTGTGCCTTTTTCTATAATCTGTTCCTGGTCACAAAGGTTCAGCACACGTACTCCTGAGATGTCAGTGGTTCTGACCAAGGTTCGAGCTACTTTCGTTTTTGTTTACCCTTTCCACGAGTACACAACGGTGAGCTTGCCCAGGGTTCCGAGGAAGAATAACCGGCACAATCGTTTCCGATTTCGGCGGAAGAACAATCTTCTTAATGCTGTACACATTCCCTGGTAACGTACCTTCTATGGAAGTTCCTCCTGCCCACATTTCAAAACACCTTGCTTAACATCAATCTCACAACAATTATTCCTCATAAAGTCTAGGCCCAGGATGCAGTCGTCCATTATATCAGCTACGATGACATTATGCAGGTAGATCATGTTGCTCAGCTTCAACTCCATCTCTTTCTCTCCACGGGCGGGTATACGCTGACCGGTGGCTGTTACCAAATTAATGCGTTCTCAGTTGTATGCAGAGTCCCCAAGGAACTGTCTTATAAGTTGGGAATTAACAACCGTGCGAGAGGCTCCAGTGTCTATGGTCAGTTTACACGGCATTTCGTTGACCTCGCCCTTGATGATTAGACTGTTCCCATCATGGGTTTGTGAGATCGAGACCCTTGGGGCTCTTATAACATCAGCCAGCACCCGCTCCGCAGTTCTGGCTTTTACTCATTTTCCTGCTGCTGCTGGGCGGGGCTGTCCTCCTGATATCGTTCACCTTCCCTTTCTACGGTTCGCTTAGGGCAGCTGGATCAAAGATGGCCCCTTTCCCCACAGCCATTGCACCTAGGGCTGTATCCTTTATTGCGGTCGTGAACCTGCTGCTACAACCTCCCTGACGCGATGGGAGCGAAGATCCTGCCGCACGGCTTCCACCTCCAGTGCATGGGCCAAGCGTCCTTAAGCGTCTCGTGATGCCCGAGCCTCACAGCAGCTCTGACTTCAAGATCGCGGATGCCGTCGATGAATGCCAGGTTTTCTTCAATGAGCGCAGGTACAGACTGGTATGCTTTTCGATCCATCTTCTTCACCTCAAGGGCCCACTGCTGCAGGTTTTCGTTGCTGCATTGCACGCGATCTTTAAGCTGCGCGCGAAAGACAAGTTCCAGGTGAGCGTCGCCATATCTCGCCTCCAATGCCTCAAGAAGCTGCTCGTAGGTCATTTTCTTACCGAGAGCTTCCAACACAGTTAAGGCTTGGTCGCGCAGGCCTAGGGTGAGTGTAGTCATGGCCTGGCTTTTATTCCAGCCGTTCGCCTCCATGAAGGCGTCGAACTGGATTTTGTAAGCCAACCAGGAAGAAGTCCCGTCGAACGGCGGCACTTTGAACCCACGTAGCGAAGGTGTAGTAACTACTACGAGAGCTGTAGTTTCATCCCCAAGTTTGAGTTCGTCTATTGTTGGTTGTTTACTTGGTTGATTCGGGTTTCAGCTTCCGACAGGCGGTTGTCATGTTGAGCAACCTTATCCTTCACCTCCCGTATCTCTTTCCCGAAGGTAGCGTGGATGTCCTTCATAAGGAGCATCTGCTCTTCCTTATCTCGTTTGAGCTGCTCTTCCTTATCGCGTTTGAGCTGCTCTTCCCTATCGCGTTTGCTCTTCCAAACGACGGGCCTGTTCCTCATGTCGGCGGGCCTGTTCCTCCCGTCCGCGCTGCAGCTGCTTTTCCAATCTACGGGCCTGCTCCTCCATCATCATCACCATCAGAGCCCCTAAGTCAGGTGCTGCAGATGCAGAAGCTACTGACAGGCCGGCCTCCACGGCCGGCGGCTGGCCCTCTGACGGCGTTGCACCACCAAATCGTCTCTGGTCCGTCTCCTGCTGGCGTTGACTTCGGGTACGGACACCCTCCGTTTCTTCCTTAGGTAAAATCGGCATGATTTTATCCCACTTTTGACACCAATTGTTACGAGCTTGAGGTTCGTGACAATAAAAACTGCCGATTGAATTACCAAAATTTACACTTTTATTACCGAACACCAATTAAAACTTAAAACACTAATAATTAACCACACTGATTCACTTTATTTCGCTCCGAAGCTTCGCTTGTCTTGCCATATTCAATACTGCCTCGATCGCGGCATGTAGCGGGTTTAAATATACTTTTACGCCAAAACATCCAGAATATTCCCGTAGATA